CTCCCCACAGATGTCCATGTGGTATTTTCATTATACAGTGGAACCTCGGTTCTTGAACGTATATGGAAGGATTTTTCTCCAAGGGGTGAAGTTCAAATGGAGAAGGGGTCAACTCAGAGCATGGGATATTTCCTCATACTGTTTCAATAGACAAATGTAGCTATAGTGAGAGAAAGAATCATGTACAGTGGTACCTCAGAATGCGAATGGGATCCCTCAGGTTCAGCATCCAAGTCTGAACCCCAGGCCATCACACAAGTGTTATTAAAATCCTGCTAAGGTTTTCATCTGCTTACAGTGGTCTCCTAGATAAATTATACATTTTTCCCATTCTTCGTTAAAGTTTTGGTCTTCTTGGTTCCTTAGCCTTCTGGTCAGTTTTGTTATTTCGGCATAGTCCAACAGCTTGGTTTGCCATTCCTCTCTGTCTTCTTTCCATCTCTGGGCTAGTAGCATCCGCATTGCTGTCGTCACGTACATGAAAAGTCTTTTCTGTTCCTTTGGAATGTCGGTACCTACAATTCCTAATGAAAGGCTTCTGGGTTTGTTTGTTTTTACAAAAGTTATTTTAAACATTTTAAAAATTCACCACACCATATTTTTCGCTCCATAAGACGCACCTGACCATAAGACGCACCTAGTTTTTAGAGGAGGAAAACAAGAAAAAAAATATTCTGAACAAAACAGTGGATGTATGATTTTTGTGGTTCATGCTGTGGCCACAGACATGATATGTGATTTGATGGTGAGTTTGGGATAGCCCAATGCAAAAATCCTGAGAATCCATGTGGATCTGTGCTTTGTAACCACGTTTTTGCACTATTGCGGCCCCACGAAACAGTGGGTGCATGTTTTTTTTGGTGCAGGCTGTAGCCATGGACATGCTATGTGATCTGATGGTGAGTTTGGGGTGACCCAGTGCAAAAATCCTGAGGATCCATGTGCTTTTACCTTCCCCCTCCCAGGCAGCCTCCTTTATCTCTATAATCCCTTATCTCCCTCCCGATCCCTTGCCGATCAGCTGCTCAGTGGCTTTGTTTCAACACCCCCTTCCCTCTTTCTAAAAAAAAAGAAAGCACAATCTGCTTTTCGCCCCTGGGCAATTCGGCTCCAGGGACCATGCATTCGCTTCATTAGACACACAGACATTTCCCCAGAGCAGTGCACGGAAATGCCGTTTACCTTCCCACCGGAGCGGTACCTATTTATCTACTTGCACTTTTAAATATAAATATGTATGTCCTGGATAGTATAAAGAAAGCACTTTAAGAATTGTACAGGATCCAGAGGAAAATCAGTATTTTATCATGCATTATGTAAACAGTCTGTGGAACTCACTACAACAGAATCTGCCTAGATCAATAAGTTCAGCTCTAATTAAAATATGCCAGCAGAGATAATAAGATTTAGAGGTGGTGTTCATATTGGACAAAATGCTTAGAAATGATAACTAGATTTTCCATTGGCTCCCCTCCAAATGGAACAATTGTAGTGTGACTAGGGCAAGTTATTTTCTGGAGTGGGTTTGATCCTCCAGAGTTCCTTGAATGAAGAGTTTAGAAACAAATGACCAAAATCCAAGATCAGACACAGGCAACGACTTCCCTCCCCATGCAGTGTAGACAATGCAAGCAGGATGGAGTCCTATGTTCAGATAGGGAGTCAAATATCACAGGCCTGCATTGAACTATTCCAAGTGCCCACCACACCTGGTTTGGAGAACTTTCCCCAGCACAGCCAATCTACACCAGCTGCCCTCTTTTCTGTGTTCAGTTTTTAGTGGGCAATAGTCCCTTATGGTAAACCTGCAACAACCAAGTGCCGCAAAGGCAAGGAAGGTGAAGCGCACAATCTGGGAACGGCAAACAAAAGCTTGCACCATCCTCTCTATGCGGCACTTATAGAATAAGGACATCAGCTTCCAGGGGCTGTCAGTCTGGGGGAAGATTTCAGCAGCATGAAATCCGTTAATTTAAAAACTCCCCTCCACACACACACACACACACACACACCACAAAAGCACCCTCCATTGCAGTTTTCCCAGGCTCTGTAATTAATCTCACTCAGCATCTACGACTGACTAACCCTGTGCTTAGGTAAATTATTCAAGCTCAGCTACACCTGTCCAAATAGAACTCCCTTCAAAGGCTGCGCAGAGCCGGCTTCTGCAGCTCAACACCGTCTCCCTGATGACAAGAGCAGTTTAGCTCCCTTGGTATCACGCAGCGATCAGCCGTGGCGGGGATAAGTTTGTGTGGAGACATTCTCAACGCTTCATTCAGATCAGGTGTTTTCCAGAGATACCAGTTCTCCACAGATGCCGGCTCCCTAATAGCAACTTTTCCTCACAGAGCTTCTATATCCCCAAGCGGAGCGCAATCTGCATTAGGTCACCGCTCTGCAAATTCCATTTCTTTCCCATCAATCTCAGTCAAGAATGTGTCAGGATGGAAATATCTTACATTCTTTATTCTTGGGAGGGGGAGGGGGAGGGTTTTGACAGGCAACGTCGCTTCTCTCTGGCGTGCACGCGAGGGACACTGGAAAGCCACTGTTCTTTGCCTAACCCAATTCTCCCAGGACTTTTTCTTTTCTTTTTTTCTTTTTTACCAATACCTAGTTAATTAGAAGAGGGAAATGAATAATTCTTTTTTATAACCATCTCTTCCAGCAGACTCTCTGTCTAGCTCTGCTGAGCAGAAGGCAGAAGGAGCCTCTCTCCGCAGAGCTATTTATACTCCGAGACAGATTTCAAAGTGCTGCTTTGATGTTCTTCCACCATCTCTGAGAAAAAAAGTAGTCCATCACCAAAATAAACTAAAATAAAAAGTAGCAGCATTTCATTATCAACACGATCCCACCAGGGGAATTTTGACATGAAGGATAAAACAAAAGTCCTTTCGTTTATCCCATCAAATAGTCTTCTTTTAAGTGTATTTCAAATTAGTTCAAACTGAGGCTCTCCGGGTAGGAAAATGATGAAATGCTGAACAGCCTCCACACTCTGGGGCTGTTTCCACACAAGGTGAACTTCCTACCCGGAAATCACTTTCCTTCGAAGAAATTGCATGAATCCAGGGCATGAATGTCTGGGCCATGAAAGATCATACATGAAGGACACCTGGCATTTGTGTGACTACCTCCCCCAGAAGTGGAAAGTCTTGTCTTCTGTAAAACCTTAGGAAGCAATACTAAGTATGGGAAGTCAGTCTAATTCACATGGGTTTAAATTAAGCCAGCATGAAATACACCAGATCCAAACTCCGTTCAGGAACAGGACTGCTGCTTGCTGAGCCAGCCTAAGCCTTGCACAGAGAAAACAAGCTTTTAAAATAGAATTTGACTTATACCGCCCTTTTTGCTGGCGTAAGTTCTCCTGGGTTGCCAAGTCACATGACTGAGCTGAATGGAGTTTGAGTCCAGTGTAGGTCTCTCCTGTCTTTGGCCCACCTCCCCCCACCTTAGAACACCCATTTTGGGTGGCTAACCCCAGTATCGCATCCTCCAGCCTTGGCTCAGCCAACTGAGATGAGATAAGGGAATTGCAATGGCATTATCTCCATCTGAAGCAGGAAGAGGCTGTGCCAGGAACTGACCAGATGAGTAGGAGAGCCACTGGATACTAACTCATCTTGACAGATCTTTGATTTGGATTGATCCCTTAGATGTGGAAACTACAGAATGAAGTCCTTTATATTTTGTATTAGTTTTAAGGGCAGGAACCCAGGCTTTTGGAAAAGATCTTTACTTTTAAATGCAAACAGGATCCATTATCTGCCCAATCCCTAACCATCATTGGTTTAGTGAGTATCAGCACAAACAATCCATCCTGTAAAACAACTAAACAAGCAAACCTCTTAAGTATTCCCCAGAAAATTCTAATATTTGGAACCCTGATACTGTACAAATTCTATTTTTCACTTAAGTTTTATCACCCAACTTCTCTGAAGCTGCTGAAAAGAAACTGGGTTAGAGCGGGATTTAAAAAGAAATCCTTTCTATCTCTGACTGATTCTTCCTCCTCCACTCTTAGTATCTGCACTCCCAGCTCAGTTAAGAATTCTGCTGCTTCTGTAGTTGACCTGCACACTGTTGGCAGGGCTAAACCTACCCCCATGGTTCCCTTACTAATCATAACTGTGGCTGACACATTCCTGGCTTTTGCTCTGAGGAGACTGCAAGCAACTGAACAAAGTTGAGACATGTCAGAGATGTTTGTTTCTCTGCGTCTGCTAAACTCAAAGCGTAGGACGTCGTCTTTCTCTCGCATGGTACTAACTAATGACCAGGGTTGCATTGCATAAACTCACTCAATGCATTCCTTGTGCTCCTAGTAATGCAGTCTGCTAAATCCAATGCAATCCAGTAAGATTGTTACATTCTGCAGATCCAAGCATTTCCCAAGGGATATCAATAGTGAAAGGCCAGGCTCCGTGACCAGTTTGCTGAGAGACATAACACATGGAATCAAACTGAACTTGCCCCAGCATCATCATGATTTCAGCTGCTACCCAGTTTACCAGGGTATGGCATGGCAGGGCATTTATTTTTGTGGGCACAATAAGATGCCAGCTATACTGCACCACTGTGTCACGCTTCTAATTAGAAGGGAAGAAAACTATTGTTCTATCAAAACATGGAAACCTTCCTTCTCACATATTGTTCTGGTTTGGGGGGAAAACCACTAAACTATGGTTTAGAATTGCATGGGTGAGCCTCAGGTTCATATGCTCCTCCCCTTTCCAATGTGGTCATGAGGTCATTGGAAGCAGAGGATAGAAAGCAGGGGTGGGAAGGGGTGGGGCCTAAGGGCAAAGGGGTGGGGCTTGAAGAGAGTCCATGACCTGGGGAGAGTCTCAAGGATCCAATAGAGAGACTCAGAGGGCAGCATTCAGCCACCCTCACACCTGAAGTATATTTTTCATAGAATCACAGAATTGTAGAGTTGGAAGGGACCCTGAGGGCCATTGAGTCCAACCCCCTGCAATGCAGGAAACTTTCACCCAACGTGGGGCTTGAACACACAACTCTTAAGATTAAGAGTTTCATGCTCTACCAACTGAGCTGTCCTATTCACCACCCCTGGAGCGTAGGTATGCCTTAATGAGGCTGAAGGTCTTGCTGACTGCATTTCCCCATCCTTTCACACTGTCCCTGTATTCACTCATTCATTTAAACATTTGTAAAAATGCTACATGTGCACAGTTGCACCCATGCAGAGCTCTCTCCCTAGGATCAAAGCCCTTCTTTGCCAGGGTTCTTGATCCCTTTGGCAGAGAACACATGACAGGGTTGCTGAGCTGTGCAGGCTCGTCCTGCCTCCCACAATCTCTGGTGCCCCCCCACTACCACTTGGTGTGCATGAGGGCAGGTTCTATGCACATACCAATGTACATGTGTAGAGTTTTTCTGTGTGAGGGGAAAGAATCCTGGGCCATTCTGGATTCTCGCCCGTCATGGGGATGCTCTACACACATGTTGATCCTGTTATAAGCACACACAAATATGCTCTTCCACATGTTCGGTGAAATGCGTGCAAAGGCATATGTTTTGCTCCGGGGAACATCAGTCTCCTAAAAATGATTTTGAAAGGATATTATTGACAAAATGGTAGCCTGTACCTGCTACAGATTCAGCCCCTGCCAAAAGCTCTGCCCTTCTTCTGGTCTCTTAGCTGTATCAGTGCAAATGAAAGTCAACGAGATAAGTTAACGCAGACCGCAGAAGGACCCCACACATGACTTATTGGCATCTGGAACTAATCTACACTCTCGTTGCCCTTGAACCAGCCTGGCAAAGAAACCCCTCCCTTGCTACGCCAGGTAATCCTACGAATTAGAAAATTGAAAAGCTCTTAGAAATCCCTCTGCAGAGACATCTCCCACCCTACCCTGGGGCTATTTGCTAAAAGACGTAGGGGATTAGGCCACAGATCAATGACAGGAAACAGCTTCAAGATCCTGGAGTCAATGTTTGGCAACAAATGGAGCCAAAGGAGAATTTCAGAGCCATTGAAGCAGGGCAAATGGGTGCTACTTTGAGCAAACAGCCATCAACAGCAGCTCCTGCATGGCTAATGGGACTGGAGTAGTTCAGCACCATCTGGAGGGCACCAGGTTGGTGAAGGCTGCTCTATGTGTGTTCCATTAGCATTTGAAAACATTCCCTTTTACAGAAGCTTTTGATTCTTGCTGCTGCTTAAGGTACTGGTTTGTGAGGAGTGTTCTTTGTGTTCTGTTTACTTTGGCTGCTGCTTTTAGTTTGAGAGTATTCATGTTTAGTTGGTTGGGATTAGAGTCTGTGTTTTTTATAAAATGTTTTCGCTTTTTTTCTGTAAACTGATTCAAACTTTGTGAATGGGGAAAGCAGGGTATACCTGTATTTCAAAAGTAAATTAAAATATGTCTGCCTCATTCACACAGAAAAAGTTGGAAGGATCAAAGGAACATGTGGTTGAGGTGCCTTCCACTTTCCCACCTCCTCTGTTTCTTGAGTCACTTGATCCAAACACTTCTCTCTGTTCCCAGCTCACATTCTGGCATCAGACCTGGGCCTGAAGAACAATGACTTGCTTGGAAAAGCAGACTGAGGGGAGGTCAGGAACAGGAAGTGAAATGGCTCAATGCCCCTCTGTCTCCCATACTCTTCTTCTATGGTTAAAGTGCTGGAACCTGACTGGAGTCCAAATCCAGTGCATTACAGCACCAGTAAGGGCTTATCTGCATTTATCTTTCCTCTGCTGTTTCCAGACGCAGTCCACACTTTAAAGTTCCATGTCCAAGCCCCCTTTTATTTTGCCACAAAGCTTTCCCCATGAAAACTGGCTCTTTATAGCTCAACTGGAGCAAACAGCAAGTCAAAGAAAACCCAAACTGATGTTTGCTCCAGATGAACACTAATGAGTGGGTTTTCCCAGGAAAATATCCAGGGCAAAAAACAAAAGGAAACATGCTCAGACTTGGAGCTTTAAAGCTTGGATGTGTGCCTGGAATGAGCTGGGCAAAAGGTAAGTGAATAAGCTCTAAGAGCCAGGTGAGAAGTTTCATAGTGCAAAAAGTGCATGTAGCTTGCATTCCTCAATACAGGCTTTGAGCCAAACTAGATGGGATGCTAAATAAATGAGTTTTTGCACTAAATGTGTACATCCTTTTTTTAAAAATGCAAATTGCAGCTGCTGGTGACTGTTGGGATTGCAGCAAGTTGGGAGGGGAGTTTAACCCTTCCTTTTATTGCTGTGGTCCTGACAAATGTTGCTCCTCTGAAGCTGTTATTTGCCTAGGGTAATAATAATAATAATAATAATAATAATGGGTTTCCCCAGCCACTCTGGGAGGCTTACAGCATACAGTGGTGCCTCGCAAGACGAAATTAATCCGTTCCGCGAGTCTCTTCGTCTAGCGGTTTTTTCGTCTTGCGAAGCAACCCTATTAGCGGCTTAGCGGATTAGCGCTATTAGCGGTTTAGCGGCTATTAAAGGCTTAGCAGCTTAGCGGCTAAAAGGCTATTAGCGGCTAGCGGCTTAGAAAAGGGGGAGCGAAAAAATCTCAAGACTCGCAAGACATTTTCGTCTTGCGAAGCAAGCCCATAGGGAAATTCGTCCTGCGAAGCGCATTGAAAAACGGAAAACCCTTTCGTCTAGCGGGTTTTTCGTCTTGCGAGGCATTCATCTTGCGGGGCACCACTGTATATAAAACATAGTAAAATATCAAACATTAAAAACTTCCTGATACAGGGCTGTCTTCAGATGTCTTCTAAAAGTTGTGTAATTCTTTATTTCCTTGACATCTGAAGGAAGGGTGTTCCACAGGGAGGGTGCCATACTGAGATGGCCTTCTGCCTGGTTCTCTGTAACTTTGCTTCTTGCAGTGAGGGAACCAGCAGAAGGCTCTCAGAGGATGATCTCAGTGTCCGGGCTGAACGATGGGGGCTGGAGACGCTCCTTCAGGTATACTGAGCTGAGGCCATTTAGAGCTTTAAAGGTCAGCACCAACAATTTGAATCGTGCTCGGAAACGTACTGGAAGCCTGTTAAGATCCCTTAGGATTGGTGTTGTGTCGTCCCGGTGGTCACTCCCAGTCGCCAGTTTAGCTGCTGCATTCTGGATTAGTTGTAGTTTCCGAATCACCTTCAAAGGTAGCCCCATGTAGAGTGCATTGCAGTAGTCCAAGTAGAGTGGTACCTCGGGTTAAGAACTTAATTCGTTCTGGAGGTCTGTTCTTAACCTGAAACTGTTCTTAACCTGAAGCACTGCTTTAGCTAATGGGGCTTCCTGCTACTGCTGTGCCGCCGGAGCACGATTTCTGTTCTCATCGTGAAGCAAAGTTCTTAACCCGAGGTACTATTTCTGGGTTAGTGGAGTCTGTAACCTGAAGCGTATGTAACCTGAAGCATATGTAACCTGAAGTGTATGTAACCTGAAGCGTATGTAACCCGAGGTACCACTGTATAGTAGTCCAATCCTCTGGGAGTGCCAATGAGAGCTTTCTCCCAGTGCAAATGGCATCTTAGAAGCAGGGATTTTTGTCAGGGCTGCACCAGGCAGAAAAGGATTCCCCTTCCATTGGTTATCAGGCCCACAGTGGCTTTGTATATATATTTAAAAAGTGCACACTTAATGCAATGACACATTTAACAACAACACATCTAGCTTGATTCTCAGTTTCTGAGAGAGAGAACTCTTCATAACAAGTGGGACAGAACCAGACAGCTCTGCCCCTCCTTCCTTGCTAAATTGTAGCAATGAGGAAATCTTCATTAGCACGACAGCAGCTCAATTAGCTCCTAAATCTGCAACCCATTTCAGGATCACATCACTCATTACCATGTCATTTGTGGGGAATGCTCACCCAAGTGGTTCCTCTGACAGCAACAGTAAATTGGGAAGGAATCATATCCTGCCAACAAGTCAGACATGAATCTGCCAACTGAGTTTTGCTGTATACCTTCCAGATTCAAGATTCAGGTGGAAACTCTTTCAACTTTATAATTTTTAACATAAGATGGGAAGCAATTCTTTGCCAGTTTAACTTCTGCAAATACAAAGGCCACCCTCCTTTGATTCAGCACAATTATTTGAAAGGACAGCTAATGAGCATTGTAAAAATGTTTACAGACATGGATTACCTTCATTCATACACATGAGTCATTAAGCATATACAAGTCTATCTATATAGTCAGCTATCAATTTTTACAAGCAAGTCAGTAAGTGTTTTAGGTGCGATGAAGTCTGTCAATACAGACCCAGTTAAAATAAATTGTGCCGCGTTTTAGGAACATTATTCTTCTTTAGCTCTGTGCTACATTTGCTATATATAATTTTGATGTCATACATCAGAAATGTATGGTCAGAGGTCAACTCATAATTCATCCTATTCTGTATACGGGCAGCTGTGAATCTGGCTGCAATCTGATGTGGATCTAAACATGCTTAAGCCCACTGACTGAAATATACATCAGCATACGAAAGTCCATGCTGAGAATGGGATTGTGGCCTCTGTCCGAGAACACAAGCAGAACTTGGCATCCTGCTAGAGGACTCCAGGGAAATATTCATCTGTTCCATCAGCATGACCTTGACTCGAGCCTTGGTAACTGCAGTGTCAGGAAAGGCACATTGTACCAATTTGCAAAGAATCTGTAACCTAATAAGGCATATCAATACTTGGGCATGAAGTAATTTGGAAAAGAAGAACACACAGAGGTTTGCATGAACATTTTATAAGATCAAGGTGAAAAATACTGGGCAATAAGAGCAGATCTGTGACTCTGGCTCAGACCAAAGGTCCATCAGGATGAGGGCTCTGGTTCAAAGAGAGACCAGACAGACGCTTCCAGGAAACCCAGGACTGAGGTAGGCCCCCCCCCATATTTGTAACCTGTATCCAGGGTCTACTGCCTCTAAGATATGCAGAGGAGCGTTGCCTCCATCTAGCTGTCATGGCAAATAGCCATTGATAGATCTGCCCTCCATTAATGTCTCTATTACAAAAACAAAAAAAAGCCATCTGTGCCAGTGCTCCCTCCTCACTTCAGCTGCCATATGGTAGTGGTGGCAGTGACAGCTTGGAA